TCTCTCTCTCTCTCTCTCTCTCTCTCTCTCACACACACACACACACACACAAACACACAAAATCTCTCTCTTTCTCTCTCTCACTCTGGCCCTCTCTGGTCAAATAAAAATAAAAGTAAATAAATAAATAAAGTTAAAGAAAATCATTATTTTTTTTAAAAAAAGTTTAGATTTTATGACACCCATAGAAATTACTACACAGTTTATCAGGGCTACAAGTTTAAAGCTTTAAAACTATCTAGATCTCTCCCTTTCATGGCAAGCTTCTCAAATACATAGATTTTATACCTGTTTCTTTCCCTTACTTTGGAGGATGCCAGGACTAATACTAGGTCCAGGTAAGAGATCTTCAGTACTAGTGATAAAACAAGTAGCTGGAAAGGCTTTTCTGAATTAACAAGTCCTGTGAAAAAGCTAAAATACCATGTATATGTTTATTCATTGTTCCCACTCCCAGCATAAGCTCTCTGAGACCAAGGATTTGTTCTGTTCACTGCTATAGCCCCTTGAAAACAGTACCTGATACATAGCCAATATTTGTAGCTTAACTACAGAAAGTGTAGGTGCAAGGTTTACCACAAAATAATTTTTATAAAAGTCCAATCATTCCTCGTCTTCCTTCTCTTCCTTGCAAATACATTTTACAAAGCTGATAATGTTTCTTCCTAAAAATTCTCACTCTCTTGGCTCTGATACTACATCTTCCATCTGTTTCTCACCTTCCTGACTGTGTCCTCTCCTTGCTTCGGTTGCTGTTGGTAACCATTCTTCAAAGCTCTGTCTTGTTCTAATCTCCATACACATACCTCATCCCTCCTGCACGCTCATTCACTGTCAAATACGCAGAGCACAACGCAACAGCAAGAACATCACACATGGAAGACCTGGCTCTGCTCTTGCCCATACAGGGAACTACCTACAATGCATGGCAAATTAGCTCTCTAGGCCTTGATGTCTATAAAATGAAATAAATGCTTATGTTCACAGTGCATGTTTACAATATGGTGATCTTTCCATTCTAGCTCTGGAGATTTGAAACCTACATCTTTGCTTCTGTACCCAACTGCAAGGTATTTCCACTTGGATTTCTGATCAAATATTGGGTAGTTTGGAAAGTTGCGACTCATTTTTGCATAGAAAAATGCATCCTGGGACCAGCAGTTAGCGTAATGGCTATGTTCGTGGACTCCCACGTAGTCAACCACAGTTCACGTCCCGGACCCGGTGGCTTAAAACTCACGCTGGGCACGTGTGCACGCGTGCCCAAGATCCCGAGAGGAGAATGGAGGAGAAGGGATTGCGGTGTGGCCATCCCCCCTGGGGGGTGATTTCTCGCTTTCTGTCTCTGTCTCTGTCTGTCTGGCAAGTGCACGCGCCCTATAGAGAAAACCTCTCCAAAACAAAAAACAAAAACAAAAAACAACGCACCCTGACTTTCCCAACAACCGAATAGCATGTTCTAAACTCTTCCACTGGAAACGCTTCTTAGTTCTTCTCTTCTCTATGAAACCACTGGTTTTTCCAAACACTCAGTCTGGAAATCTTGAACTCATCCTGGGCTATTAGTAAATAAAATTTACAAAAGGTCAATGACTTGGACAGAACTTTTGAAAAGACCCAGCAGTACAGAGCAAACTATAATGAAATCGCTTGCACTAGATGCCACATATCAAACTAAACCTTGAATAAGTTTTCCAAAAGAAGATTCACAGCAACCAACAAAGAGACCCAGTTTACCTGGGTCTGAATAAAGAAGACCCACTATTTTAACCCTAGAGAGAACAACTGACCTTCTTTTTGTTCTGTTTATGATTTCTTTAACCTTTTTCTGCCTATACAGCCAAGATTCTTTGCTCTTTTCATCACAGTGCCTTTCTAAAACATTTGATGAGATGGTCCTCAATTGATGAATTACTAATAAAAAGTCAATTAAATCTTTCAACTGTTGTAGTTTTGTCTTTTGACACATATCTCCCTTATTCATTCTGTCACCATCGCTTGCTATTTTTCACATCGCTTCCTGTGAAACTTTTTAAATTTTTAAAAAAGAATTATTTAATACTACTCATTAGTATTCTTCTTCAGTTTTACCAGAGAGAGACAAGAGAAAGAGAGGGATAGAGTGAGAAAGCAAGTTGCCAGGTCCAGGACTTGAACCGTGGTCAACCATGTGGGATTCCAGCACCTTAACCACCACACCACCTGCCTGCCCCAGTCTTGTGAATCTTAACAGTGTCACAGCTCTCATATTTGACATTCATGCTCCCATAATCTGCCCACCCTCTTCCCACATGCCTCTATTTATTTCACTAGCCTCTGACAAAGGCCCTGGGTTCCAAGTGAGTTTGTTGGCAATAAGTTTTGCCCATTTCCAACTAAAACAGTTTTCTAAGAGTTGTCCTTCAGCCCCATCTTCAAAACTTCCTTCTTTGGTAACGTCTGACTTATCTTAACTCTCATGTACTCAGGGCCGAGACCACTCTTATTTTTTCTTGGTTTGATGTTTTCTTCTCATC